CTGGATCATATAGTCTTAAACAAAAAAAACTTTCAATTCCATGTAATACACAATTTCATAAGTAGTGAACAATAAGACTTCATCCTACATGTACCATGTATGTTAACTGTGTTTTACTGTACACAATTAATTAATGCTTCCTGGAACACTGAATGTATAAGTATATAGTTGATAAGATATTCCTGTAATGCTAATGAGTACTTGACTGTTTACTCCAAATAAACCAGGAAAGAAATCAAGGACTTGGCCTATCATTCCTATACATCTCTAAGTTCACACAGTACACTTATTAACCTGATGAAATTTCTTCCTCATGAGGTAGAGTTCTTCTCCGCATTCTTGTCTGTGTCTCTCACTGTCCTTCTTTTTAGGTAATCTCATGTACCGGCTCATGGCACTGTCATGTTCTACAAAAAACAGGGAAAACAACAGAATTCAATCAACATATACCTACTACAGGGTCCGACACTCGTCAAAATTTGGTCTCGCCATTTGGGCAACATTAGTACTGATCATGTGCCCAGGTTGCCCGAATGAAATTCAGGTCAGCAAAATAAAATATCAAATGAAACAAAAATTTATGTGAAATTGTTTACAATTTGTTAAGATAACAGAGTTTGTGTTTTAGGTATTTTAAAATGTACGCCAGACATTTTTGGAATGTCAAAAGATGTCTTCAGTATTCTAACAAACAAAGGAAACAAGCAGCAAATCCTATGAGCAGAGACAGAATCAAGGGTTGGTAGGTTGAGGTTTTTTTGGCTTATTATTTGTATCAATGTACAATCTCACATACTGACATTAATGAGGGTCAAATATCCCTGGACTGAATTAACCAGGTGTAATATTACAGTGGACACCCGATATGGCTGAACATCAGAAAAACATTCTTAGTCAGGAAGAAGGATGAGTACTAAAATGACGTTTCAGATTTTGATAACAACAGTATCTTCCTTGCACTGAAAATAAAAAATTGCTTAGTAATTTTTTTTTACTTATTTTAAGTAATATGTTTACTTAACATAATTGTTAATTACTGACTATGATTGAGTATTACTAAGGATTACTAAGTAATTTACGAATTACTTAAAATTCCTTATTGTAAGTAAATTAATTACTTAAAGTATATTAGAATTCATTCAGAAAATTAATTTAAGTAGTTTTAAGTAAAATAATTTACTTAGATTTCCATTATCGCCCTTGAAAATATTTTTTAATAAAAAAAATATTAATCAAATGTTTATAAACAATTCTGCATCTAAAAAAATTTTGTTACAATTAAATGACTTATTCGTTAAGAGATATAAATATCTCAATTTACATCGTTTAAAGTAACCTAGTATAATTGTTTTAGATAAGCTTTTATAAATAATTAATGAAAATATAAGCAATCGAAACTAGATATTAACATCCTTACAGCAATGTAGCATATAATGAGTTGACTATAGAGAAGTCCTCATTATTATACGTTTGTCAATTCTGACATGACAATCAAACTAACATGTCAGGATTTCTCCAATCAGAGGAATAATATTAAAATTTAAATAATTAAATGTTTTGTAATTTGTTAACTTTCATTATGTAAATGACTACTCAAAGCTACTTCTGTAGCTTTGTATTTCAAATACTAAGTAATTCATTTTTTTACTTATTTTAAGTAAATTATTTACTTGTCACTGTTTATATAATTATAAAATTATATTACTTAAAATTACTAATAAATATTATAAATTACTTATTATGATTGCTATGGTGACAAACTTTTTTACTTAAAAATTACTTAAAATAAGTAATTCATTTACTTGATTTGAGTAAAAGTAAGTAATATTTTTTTTGAGTGTGAGGAGCTCTCACTGAATTACACAACTAGGAACAATGCTTTCCTTATATGCAGCAATCTGTGAATAACTTTTTCTTTCGGAGAAAAATCATAAATGTACCAGTCGAAAAACAGTGTACTGTTCTATATGCCATTAATTTTACTTTTTATCAGTACTATTAACTTTAATAAACAAGAGGCCCATGGACCACATCGCTCACCTGAATACTGTGGCTAGGAAAAAGTAGAAATTGGTTTATTATTGAATAGTTTAAATCAAAAAGTAGTTCCATGACCAATCATGGCTTTGCTATTCTTGATAAGATGATTTTTAAAGAATTTTATTATATATTTCTATGTCAGGGTTCAACATTCACGCTCGTCACCTCGTCATTTCCATCCAGAAATGATTTCGGAGACCTGATTTTCAGTCTGGCTCGCCCAAATGACGACCTGGGACAAGTTGGGAATATTGAATATATTTTGTTTAATATTTTTAAAAAAACTTCATAAGGCATTAAAATCATTGTTTCCTGTAACCAAACCAACCCATGCAACATGTTCAAATTGCAGCGGAGTAGATTTCTCTTCTTGCCAAATCTGTGTACGATCAATCAGCTGATGCAATTTTTACCAAAAGTCTTTAATAAAGTTTTATTTGTCAATGAGATATAAAATGTCAACTTAGTCAACGATCACCTTAAATATAAAGCGTAATAATCATCATTGTAACATCTTGCATTTCCCCCTACAACTTTTTGATCATTTGATGATCGTTTTCTGCTGCTAGACAGCCATTTTGGGTGTCCACTGTAATTTCACACCTGGTCAATTCAGTCCAGGAATATTTGACCCCATTATTTAGGCCTTCATAGTAAGTGAAAATGAATGTTTTAAACTACAAACTTTAGCATTCAGCATGTCTGACTCTGCTTATATTTTTGTTTGATAAAATACCGGTAGACATCTTGACATTCCAAAAGTTACAATTTTTAATACAAAAACCACAACTTCTGTTAATTATCTTAACAAATTTTAAAACAACTGCACATTAAATTTTGTTTCATTGGATATTTAATTTGGACGACCTAAAATTCATTCGGGCAACCTGTGATCAGTTCCAAGGTTGCCCAAATGGCGAGACCAAATTTTGACGAGTGTCGGACCCTGCTATGTAAAACTTGACATTGTGGCCCTGCCCTACCCCCTGGGGGTCAAGATTTGTACAAACTTGAATCTACACTACCTGAGGATGCTTCCAAGTAACTATGATCAATTATGGCTTTGTTATTCTTCAGAAGATTTTTAAAGAATTTTCCTATATATTTCTATGTAAAACTTTGGTTGGCCATTGTGGCCCAGCCCTACCCCTGGGGGTCAAGATTTGAACAAACTTGAATCTACACCACCTGAGGATATATATGATCAATTATGGCTTTGTTATTCTTGAGAAGATTTTTAAAGAATTTTCCTACATATTCCTATGTAAAACTTGGTCGGCTATTGTGGCTCCGCCCTACCCCTGGGGTTATGATTTGAACAAACTTGAATCTATAAGTTTCATCTTTCCTGGCACAGTGGTTCTTGAGAAGAAGATTTTTAAAACATACCACTAAATTTTCATATATATTTCTATGTAAAACTCTGGTCAGCCATTGTGGCCCTGCCCTACCCCTGGGGGGCAAGATTTGAATAAACTTGAATCTACACTATCTGAGGATGCTTCCAAGTAAATATGATCAATTATGGCTTTGTTATTCTTGAGAAGAAGATTTTTAAAGAATTTTCCTATATATTTCTATGTAAAACTTTGGTCAGCCATTGTGGCCCTGCCCTACTCCCAGGGTCATGATTTGAACAAATTTGAATCTACACTACCTGAGGATGTTTCCCCTTAAGTTTCATATTTCCTGGCACAGTGATTCTTGAGGAAAAGATTTTTAAAACATACAACCAAATTTTCATTAATTCCCAATTATCTCCCCTTGAATGAGGGCGTGGCCCTTCATTTGAACACACTTGAATCCCCTTCACCCAAGGATGCTTTGTGGCAAGTTTGGTTGAAATTGGCCTAGCGGTTCTTGAGAAGAAGTCGAAAATGTGAAAAGTTTACAACAACGACGATGACGACAACGACAGACAACGAACAAAATGTGATCAGAAAAGCTCAGTTGAGCCTTTGGCTGAGGTGAGCTAAAAATATAATAAAAGATATGTACATACCATTACTTGCTAATTGGAACATCTCACATAGTGTTGTTACTTCTGAAAAAAGAAAAAAAGTCATAAAGATGTACAGTGATGACTATTATGATGATGGCAGAACTGTAAATGTTTTCTTCTTTCAAGATATTTTCCCTAAATTAACAAACAAAAACTGATAAAAATGAAATGAATTGGAAGTGTAATTTAGCTAATTTTACAAGTATTTCTCTCTTGGCTCGCAATCCCCTTAATGGGAGTAAGAAGGGGGGGGGGTTTACAATAAATGTGATTGAGAATTAGCCATCTATGTTCAACCTCAAAATATGTAACCAAATGAAACAAAAAACCAGATGATCTAAATATTTTACAACATTTATATATCAACTTGAAAGATATACCTTCTAAATCTGCCTGTAAAAATCTAGACAAAGGGTACATCATTGTCTCAGAGAACTGTGCAGAAAGAACCTGTTGTATGGAGCTCACCTGGAATTAAAATAAATAATACAATCAAGACTTTAAACAATAAATTTATTATGAAAGAAATATATTTCACCCCAAGAACATCTGTTCTGCAAATAAAAACATATAAAAAGAATTTGAGCATGTCTACAAAATATAAACAAGTCATCTATCTATCTTAAATAATGGTCTTCTTTACAGAGTTTCACTTGTTATTTGAATCTGTTCTCAAATAATTAACTTTATCTCTGCCAAAAATATTTTTTGTATTTGGATTTGTCATGTTCATATGAATACATTTCCTTATTATAAAAAACATTTTTTTTTTTAAAGATTTGATCAGTTCACTGAAAGTTGTCTACTTACATCATCTAGATAACTAGAGAATTGTTTCAGGGTAGAACTTAATACACTGTCATCAGATTCTAATGGGAATTTCTGGAATAGAAAACCATACAGCCTAGCTATATCATGTGTAGGGTGCTTGTGATATGGTATCATAAACCTAATTATCATCATGATCATGGAAGTTTGATGCAGAAAATGAAATTTAAGTCTGACACTTATTAATAACTTATATGTGAGAAACTATAAAGTCCATCTCTCATTAGAGCTGATTTCAATAGACCTAACGGATTACGCTGTTTGTGACGTGCTAACGCTCTGCTTGTCGAGAGGTTAAAATACTACGTCACATTGTCACCACATCAAAGAAGTAGTCGAGATCGCTTTTCTCCCACGCTAAAGTCGGTCAACTGCAATACACATCGCCGACGTTAAACTGTTTACAAAAGGGGAAAGACGATACAAATCTTATTAAACAGTTGGAAAAGAGCATTATTTATATCATATGCATTTTTAATCAATAAAATTTTAGCGTTTCCCCCGGCCTTCCCTTGATATTTACCATTTTTCTCGAATATATGCATAGAGAGGGGGCTCTATTTTTCAGCAGTATTTTGTACAAAATTGCAACAATCTCAGAATGCATGGCTTGGATTGATACGCGTAACCAATAAATGCAATGATCAATGACTTATGCACTGCTTGATTTTTATACATGTACACAAATATGAAAAAGATAAATTTATTTTGCGATAGAATGAAATAATCGACCAATTCAAATATTCGCAATGGACTGAAAAAAAATCATAAAATGCTTTTATTGATTAATTCAAGTTTTAAAGACATTTAACTATGTTGGTAATATTCAAGAAAAGGAGATGGGGATTGTCTACTCCACCTTTTTAACCCAACAAACAAGGTGTATGTTGCAGCTAACCGACTTTAGTGTTAGAGAGAAGTGATCTCGGCCACTTCCTTTGATGTGGTGACAATGTGACGTAGTATTTAAACAATTCGACAAGCAGAGCGTTAACACGTCACAAACAGCGTAATCCGATAGGTCTATTGAAATCAGCTCTAAATGCATGGAATCATGAAAATATTGATAAACTCTGTAGGTACTAGATACCTGTATTTCAAAATCCCTCAGGTGTTGTGATAATGATTGCGTGGCTGCACACAATTCATTCTAGAAAAAAATTGATTTTTAATAAAAAGAGACATAAAATTGAATTTGAACCATGCAACAACTACGACAACAGTACAAGTTAAAAAGTAACATAAACATTATTTTGAAGGGCCTTACTAATAATGCTTTACTAAAATGCCCATAAAAAAAAGTGAAGAGTTGTTTTGAAGGGCCTTACTAAATTGCTCATAAAATAGTGAAAAATTAGATTTTTTGAAAGATGTGTATATTTGCACGTAGAAAGTGTTTGGCTATCAAAATTTACAAAAAAAAAAAAAAAAAAAAGCATTTTGTGAATTTTGAACTTATAAGGACTCCTTTCTAATGACAGCAGTCAATTAAAATTTAATACATGATTGTAGAAGGAGTGAAAAAAAATTAAAATCTTGCCTGAGCTTTCATGATTCGTTGACAGCAGTTGTGTAGACCTGTTGTGTATTTCTTTAGGGCCATAGCATCTTTCTCAAACACAGATAGCAGACTACGAGTCTGAAACAAAATATTGGTAATACATTTATTATAACATTATTAAGAAAAAAGAGATGTTTGTAAAACACTTATGCCCCCTTCCCCCAACTTTTTTTCCAAGTCCAAGGGGCATAACTCTATCAAAAATGGTGCGATCGTACCCAAAACAGATCTTGACCTAGATATTCAGCTGATAAATCTGTATACCAAATTTCATTTCAAGATGTGCAACCTCTGCAAAGAAAATGAACGGAAACTGCAAATAATTCAAACTTTTTTAAGTTCAAGGGGCACAACTCTGGCAAAAATGGTGCGATTATACCCAAGACAAGACTTTTCCTAGATATTCAGCTGATAAATCTGTATACCAAATTTCATTTCAATATGTGCAACCTCTGCAAAGAAAATGAACAGAAACTGCAAATAATTCAAATATTTTTAAGTTCAAGGGGCATAACTCTAGCACAAATGGTGTGATCATACCCAGAACAGAACTTGCCCTAGATATTCAACTGATAAATCTGTATACCAAATTTCATTTCAGTGTGTGCAGCGGTTGTGAAGAAAATGAACGGAAACTAAATGGACCGAAAGACCGACCGACAGACAGCAGCAAAGCAATATGCCCTCCCTTCTTCGAAGGAGGGCATAAAAAATAATTGACACATATCTTATATGAGTGTATAACTTGCCAGAATAGGTCTACAGACGCGGATCCAGAAATTTTTTCCAGGGGGGTCCACCCCGGTCAAAAAAAAGAAAAAAATTCCAATCCCAGAAATTTCTTGACAAGCAAAAAAAAAAAAACAAGTTAGTGGTGACTTCTATTGCCTCAAATCTTTCACTTTATAACTTTTTTCTTGTTTAAGTATAGACATTTTTTAACCTGGTAAATTCCAGGGGGGTCCTGACCCCCCCCCCCCTCTAGATCCGCGCATGGGTCTAGTCACCACATTTCTTTATTATGCATTGCACTAATGTGTTTCTTTTCACATTATGTGAGAATATGAGCTCTTCCTAAAAATTTGTTCATTGGCTGTCTTCCTGATTGCTGATTTACATGTATAGTTAAACCCAAATAACATATACATCACAACGGTTTACTAAGTACGAGGGGTGATGAAAAAGTTTGCAAACTAACTGAATAACTTCCATACAAGAAACAATATTTGGTTTTAATGTTGATTATATTTTAAATTAATCCTCCCCGATTTTAATGCACATCAACCACCGTTCTGCGCATGCGCGAATCACGTGATATTGGCTGTCACATGACCCCCTCCCTAGCATTCTGTCACAAAAGTTAAAAGATTTTTCCGAGTTTTATATTTCTTTCCATGTGAGTTAATTTTTATGACAAGAACAGTTAATTTGTCAGAAATGGTCATATCTCGGCAACAGAATGGGTGGATAATAACATCCTTTCCAAAAATAAGCATGGCGACCATTAAAACACAAATCTTCTGTCTCAGGAGAGACCTTTATTCAAGGTGGATAGAGAATGGGTGCATCCTTTTTATCATATCTAATATGTTTAAAATCTAAAATAAATGATATCTTAGGTATTTAATACTTATATCATTGTTCAAATATTCAACTATTTTTCAAAGTGCTAATTGGAGGTCTTTGATAGCAAATTGCTTAATTAAAAATACATATCTTTTCAAACTTGCTTTCACTGGGCAAGATGACATTAAGTATCATTTTTAACCATCAGCCTTCCTTCACTAAAACGATTAATCCAATCATTAATTAAATTTATAGGAACTCATTTATCTCAATAAACTGTGTACAAATTATTATATGATACTGTAGAGGGATTTCTAAGATATTACAATAAATTGTACAGTCGTTTGTTGAACGAGTTCGACTGAGACAACCATTTTTCGTCACAAGTGACCTAAATAGTGATGTCATTTTCACATTGTGACGTCACAAACAAGGAGAGAAACTTTATTCAGCATATGCTAATTATTGACCTTGTGTATGGCTATGTGTGTACCGAATTTCATTCTAATCTGAATTGTGGTTTTGTAGATATAGAGATAGTTTGCGAACTTTTTGATCACCCCTTGTATTACGCAAAGGAATAGCTTTTTGTGTTGTAGTACAAATCAAAGTTTACAGAAAACTAGCTCGTGCTTCATGTCTTTAATTTAACTATGAAATAGGTTATCAAACACTTTGTTCTTCCAAAATTGAATACCGGTAATTATGACTTCTTTGATGAACTTGTTAAAGGATCAATTACTGTAACTGTACATCACATTTTGCTCTAAAAAATATAGTACACAGTATTGTATCAAAATTTCATGTTCATTACATAGTCCTATTTGATTTTATGTCCTTTCAAGTTTACATTGACAAATTACCAAAAGTACTAGCTGCAAAATTTTCATTAGACAACTCTAACAATGAAAGCAGCAAACGGAAAAAACTGAAAGTTCTTAAAGCAATGGCTGGGCGAAGAGAAAATTAGGATTTTGCACTCAAAGAAATTTTTTTCCGCAGTAATCTGTGGTCCCATATAAATGCTTTGTGAATTTCATTTCACCGCAAACCATATTCTTGCAGTACCCAAAAGTTAATCTGAACTGAAGAAAAAATAATCATCTTGATTATGAATATATGGCAGATAAATAGTAGATGTTCTTTTTAAAAAATTTGCACTCTGACTGTTCAGACTTTGTTTTGGTAAAACAGTTTACATGCGATATCATGCGACATTAGAGTATAGACAAACAAAATGTCACTAGCTGTTTGAAGAGCTGGTTTAATCTAAAACTGAATAGGTACCTTCATTTGCGGCCATAATGGTTACAATATCAAAATTGAAAATGATGTGATAATCTGACATTATTAGAGGGCAAATGACAATAGGCAGTGACTGAATGTCTTCATGAATTTCTTCAGGGTTATTTAAAATTAGAGAATGCGGTGTAGTGATGGGGAATCGGAAAAAATTCATAATCGATTATCGGTAATAATCGGCTGGGCATAATCGATTAATAATCGATTATAATCGAAATTTTGAACTTCAATAAAATTAATATAGAAAAGTTAAAACTTATTCAGATTTCTGTCAGACTTTTACATAAAAAAACATTTACTTACATAAAATATTCAAAAATTTTAATTGAAATTTCTTTTTTAAAAAGTGGATAATAGTATTTTGTCTACTTTAAACAATATAGGACTATTGAAACAGAATGGGAATTTATTTTTTTTTAATAAAGTCCATGCAATGGGTATTTTACTGATATTAGTCCCACCTTTCATTTAATACATGTACGTATTTATTTCTTAAAATTAGTTTTGATTAGTTAAAATTGCAAGTTGTAAAAGTAATTATCCTCATGTTAGACTTGTATTTATGATTATAATTACGTTTAAAGATTGACTAGACTAATTATGTTTTTCCTTTACTTGCAATATTATCGTTTCCTGGTATTAGTCTAACCCCATATTTAGGGTGCAAAACACAGTTTTATGTATGACGTTATCAGGACGTTACTTGGTGAGGGACAAGCAGAACTGACCCCTATAAAAAAATAAAATGGAGGATTGTTACATAGACTTCTGCATATCAATGGAAAGATAAAATTGTGAATTTTGTAAATATCCAACTATAATTCATTCATCAATTACTACTAGGGGGTATTTGACACCTGAAAAATGGGGGATATTGGGTTGTTTATGCATCCATTTTCAGTGCATCTCTGCATTTTTAACCCCCCTGCTCAACAAAAACAGAAAAAATCAGACAAAATAAGTTGTATGCATTTCACAGAACAAGTCCTAAGGCTTTCTTTTAGTGTGCTTTTAGGGTACATTTTCCACCTCTTGAAAGAGCTACATTACCTGCTAATTGACTCATGCAATTCTGCACATGTGAAAACTGGATGTTTTGGGAGTTATCTCCCCCTATTAAAAAGTCTCACAATTTTTTTTTTCTAAAAATGAATGCACATTTTTTTCTTTAAATATTAAGATAAGACTCTACTTTATGCAAATGAAAACAAAAAAGATGCAGTTTTCATCTAGACTCCTATAAATAGCAGGAAAATCCCTACCCAGCATGCTTCTCTCTGGGAAAAACCCCCTGGATTTTATACGAAACTGTGTTTAGCTACCTTAATCATGGCGGTAAAAGTATCAACAAGACACGGGATCCTTTCATGTTTTCAACATTCATCACTACTTTTATGCTCTTTGCACTTGGAGTTGATGATAAAATTAAAGTTTGACAATTTTATTTTTTGTTAGCGATGTCGGCGACATTTATTTTATAATCGATTAGTAGCATCGAAGAGCTTCTAACGACCGACAATCGATTGTCGCCGACAATCGTTCCATCACTAATGCGGTGGTAAAGATTGGATTGCAGGTGACCAAAAAAGGTCGGTTGGTAGAGCACCTTTCTAGAGCTCAGTGACCCTGGGTCTTAATCTAAAAGATTTTGTTACACTTTCTCTCCCTTTCTGTTTCTTATGCATTTTCCTTTTAAACAGGTCAAATCTTCTTTATGGGCATACACAATATTACACATGCTTGCAACACAGTACAGTAAAGTTTGCATGTTGTAAATAATTCTACCCTGGTGTATGCAGATTATCGAGTTTATGGAGCAAGCCCTTTAAATATGTATTTCTATATGTAATTATGTATACTTGTACCAGTTTGTACTGTCGACATGAATTTTTATATTGAAATTTTACTGCCACCTCCAATTTCAACTTCTGTGGCTTCATGTTAGGCAAATCTCAGATATCATGACGCAGAAACCCATTAACTTCTTGCAATCAGATTAGACTAGAAGAATGATAAATTAAAATCGCAGATCGATATCTATTTGTCATTAGCGAATACAACCCCTGCTGTGTGCACCCTGCACATTACCCCTCCCACTTGACTTTGACATCATTTACCGATGGTGACGATTCGTGATTTACCTGTGGACTATCTTCCAACGCATCCTCAAGATGCAATTTCTCTATAGCCATGTTTGCCAGGGAATGTCGATGTTATTTACTCAACAGCATCCAATTAACTTTGCCACTGGTATATTTTGTGTCTGCTAGTGATTAATGCATCAGGACAGGTCCGCACTCCAGCTGCTTTTTACGTCGTGCTCTGTGATTGGATAAAAATAACAACGACAAGATTTTCAATCAATTTATTTTTTGTACAAAATGAATAAAAATATAGATATAAATTCCAGAAAGAGTCTTTTGTAAATAAATTGTGTTTGCAATCTTCCTTACAATGAAGGATTGATAAAAACAGCTTCGCAGAGGAATTTGGGTAAAAGTAGGCTTCCATCGTGTACGCATTCGTTCAATGGACTGTGCACCATAATTTATGCAAAATATGCGCTTCATATTTGTTTTTCTTTACCATGTTTTCCTCTTATTTTTTTTTTGTTCACATTTGTTACTACTTTGATTGCATGAAATGGTCCCGTGTGTTTTTTTAGGGTGATGACAAAATGAATGCAAATTTCCCTTGCAGAGTTGTCGCTCGTTCCTCTCCAGTGGAAAAATGCCTTTTTGGAATCTGAGAAAACTCTTTAGTATATATGTTTAACTTCTCAAAATAAAATTTACCACATAGCCAATTCACACAGGTGAACATTATACTTTATTCCCTTTTTTATATAGTTTTTGTCCTGTCCGTCGATCTGTCCGTCAAACTCTCTGACCCTTTGTCTAGCTGTTCGCAAAAACTTTCACCTTGTACATGACTTTTGATTCGTAGGAGCAATGGTTTTCATTTATTTCTTGTGACAAAACCTTTCCTTGGGTACATGAACCAACATATTTGATCTTTTGATTGTCCTTAGAGTCCGCAAGAAATTGATAAACGGTATAATTTCATTGGTAATAAATTTTGAAAAAAATAGGGGATATATAAATATTTTGGACCTTTTGTCCTTGACCCTCGAGTTTGACCCACCTAAGAAATAAAAAAAAAACAAACTTTAACTTAGGACATAACTTTTAAACAGTTAAAACCAAGGCATTCATATTTCTCCGATGCATTTTTTGTGACATTGATCCTCAATTGGATTGCCACAATTTTGACCTTTTGACCTTGGAGTTCGACCGACTTTAAAAAAATAACTCTGTTCATAACTTTTGAACATGTCTTATGACAAGACCTTCACCTGGGTACCATGAATTTCACCCTTTGATCTTGACCTTATAGTTTGACCCATATTTTCAAAAAGTTTGAAATCTTGGCTATAACTTTTGCAAGCTTAGTGTTTGAACTTGCATATTTCACACGTAAAATTATTGAGAAAAAGTCCTTACCTAGGGTAATGTTAAGCTTAAACAAGAGGCCCATGGGCCACATCGCTCACCTGAGCACTGTGGCTAGGAAAAAGTAGAAATTGGTTTATTATTGAAAAGTTTAAATATAAAGTAGTCCCATGACCAACCATGGCTTTGCTATTCTTGAGAAGATGATTTTTAAAGAATTTTCCTATATATGTCTATGTAAAACTTTGGTCGGCCATTGTGGACCCGCCCTACCCCCGGGGGTCATGATTTGAAGAAACTTGAATCTACCCTACCTGAGGATGCTTCCATATAAATATGATTAATTATGGCTTTGTTATTCTTGAGAAGAAGATTTTTAAAGAATTTTCCTATATACTTCTGTGTAAAACTTTGGTTGGCCATTGTGGCCACGCCCTACCCCATGGGGTCATGATTTGAACAAATTTGAATCTACACTACCTGAGGATGCTTCCATAATTATTGAGAAAAAGCCCTTACCTAGGGTAATGTTAAGCTTAAAAAATGACACCGGAAGCTATAAATGAGACCTTTTCATATTATGCCACAGGTTATATCAGATTGTACACGAAAAGAATGGGTTTTCTTGCAGAAAAATAATAGTTGGCATTCATAACGTTCGCTAAAAAAAATAATAAAGATAAAAATGGCAAATTCACTGCAACTCGACTGCTAACCGCTAACCTTTGCATTGAAAAAAATTAACATTGAAGTGAACACAATCTGTGTGCACTTATTTCCCTTGTATTTTGTTTCCCTTGTAATTTGCATTAAAATTTTGAAGCTAAAATACTTAAAACATCATAATTATCAGGAAGTTATTTTTCTTAATCTGAAAATGCAAAATACCTAATACCGCGAACTCCGACTTGTTCACTCTGTTTTATCATTTGAAACAAAATAGCTTAACACGGACAGTGTCGCAGATCAGAGTGCAGTCGTTTCTATGTCAAGATAAGACTAGAACACGAGAGACAATCCGGCATAATCGATAAAAATCATTCAGAATGAAGGTATTACAACTGATTTTTGGAATCCTTCTACTCGGTTTTGTTCATGGAGAGCGACAATTAAGTTCTCAAATGAATATTGAAGATGTGATTCAAGAACTGAAATCTTTACAAAACATTGTAAAATATCAATCCCAAAAAATCGCCGATTTGGAAGCGACCTCAAAGGAGCATATGGACATGATCAAAGCGCAAAGAAGTGAAATCAAAGAGGTGAAAGGTCAGCTGGCGATGTCAAAGAAAAGGTGTGATATGGGCAGCTCTGATAAAATACAACAAAAATCAAACCATCTACAGAACATCACTACTAAAGCGGACAAGGTCGAACCCAATGGAAGCCTAACTCGAAAAGGTTAATGTGGCATTATTTCTACTAGAATGAATGAAATCAATCAGGTATACTTTTTGTGTGTATGTATCAGATTCGTCACTCTCACAATGCTAGGAATCCTGAGTCAGTGCGTTGCTTTGGGACCCATGGGGCTATGCAATGGCAACGTGTTGAATCAGGCTTCATGGCATTGCAAGATTGATTGTATATTGTTTAACGTCCCTCTCGAGAATTTTTCGTTCATAATTGACCCACCACCACCACTTGCCGGTGGAGAGCTGCAAATTTTGTCCAATACTCGGTACTCAAGTCCATTGAGCAAGGAGGGATCTTTTTCGGATCTTTTTCGTACCAGCACCTACTGCGACCTGGTACCTCAGTGTATACGGTCTCATCCGAAGGACCAGTCTCCACGTCCCACAGTGGGATTCGACGAACCCGCGACGTAATGTTCAACTCCTTACTTCGCGACTCAAAATCAAACGCTCTTACCACCTCGCCACGCGGACGACTGGTATTGCAAGATTGATTAATTGACTGTATGTTGTTCAACGTCTCTCTCGAGAATTTTTCACTCATATGGAAACGCCACCAAGCGGTGGTGGAGAGCTACAAATTTTGACCTACGTATGCTCGGCAGTCAGGGACATTGAACAGGAAGGGATCTTTTTCGTGCCAGCACCCACTGGGGCACGGGACCTCGGCTTATACGGTCTCATCCGAAGGACCGGTCTCCACGTCCCACAGTGAGATTAGAACCCGCGAAGTGAGGATCAACTCCTTACTTTGCAGTTCTAGAGCAGACACTCTAACCACTGCGTCACGCAGGCGAAGACATTACAAGAATGGTACATTCTATTTACATTACTAATTTGAAACTAATAATGATTTATCGATGAAGTACTATTACACAGTGGTATATACACGTATGTAGATGTTTTTATTTAAAATGCATTCATATTTCGGCTTTGTTTTAACTTTTAACAATACATGTATTAGAGAAGATTGTGTTCACTTCAACAGGAAGGATAACATCCCCTTCCTCTAGTGACCATGGACAAGTAGCGTTCTACGCCTACATGTCGTCATCAATGACTAACATCGGTGGACACCACCCGCTGGTCTTTGACGTCGTCAAAACCAATGTTGGTAACGCATTCCACCAAAGTACGGGTGCCTTCATTGTTCCTCAAACTGAGGGTAACTAGTGAGAGTTATCACAGCGTGAGATTGGTTGTCAATGGAGAGGAGAAAGGGGCGGTCTATCAACATAGTTCAAGTAATGAATACGACCAGGGTGGTTGCACGGTCGTTATTCAAGCCAATGAACAAGACGATGTTTTTCTGAGGACCGCTATAGATTTTAATAAAGGTCCTATCTATAGCAAACCGCACGGATTTACGTCATTTGCTGGATGGAAATTAAACTGAAAAGAATTCAATTAAATTCAGGGCCATCATGGTTTTATAAAAGGTGCTAAATTTTAGCGTTTTTTTTTTATTTTTACTAAAACTAGTTAAATAAATAATTATTGAACCATGAATGTAATGGACTTGTTTTTTTTTTCATTGCTTTTATATCAGATCTAGAATATTTGAAATAAATAGATCTTGTATTTAATCCTAATCACTAAACAGAAATCTAAAGAAAACAATGATCAAGTTAAGCAATATAAATTGGAAGTAAATGATACATTTAACAAGGACCCCTAAGAGATTAGAGGTGGAAAAATGAAAGTACCAAACAGAAATCAAAATCACATTACCTTTAAAAAAAATCTGAAATGAAAAAACTAAAATCAGAATTAGATTAGATGAAAGAAAGAACACAGGGGGCGAACAAAATTCTGTAGTACTATTTAATATATCAATTGATTTATAAATAATTTGGTCCCAAGACCATAAACTGAAAATTGACATTAAAAGTCAAAATTTTAAATCAATGTAACTTTTAAAATTTTTTTTTAAAATGATACATGTAACGTTCTCTATAAAATAAAAAAAAAATAAAGAGAAAGAATGGCAAACTCACTGCAACTCGACTGCTTACCTTTGCATTGAAAAAATTAACATTGAAGTGAACACAATTTCTATGCTTTTGTCATGCTTATTTCCCTCGTAATTTGCATGAAAAGTTTGAAGCTAATATACTTATAACATCAAATCAGGATGTTATTTTTCTTCATCTAAAAGCGCAAAATATCTAATACAGAGAACTCTGAGATTATTACTCTTTTTTATCATAAGAAATGCGTCTAGTGTGACATGAACGGTTTTCTACTTTAGCTATATAGTGTACAGTCGTCAAGATAAGACTGGAAGGCGAAGGACCATCGATAAAAAATCCTTCAAAATGAAGATATTACAACTAACTTTTGGAATCCTTCTAATCGGTATAGTTCATGGAGAGACACAATTAAGTTCTGAAATGAATATTAAAGATGTGATACATATATATTATTATAACAGTAACTTGATCCGAAGGGTCGTATCACGTCGAGTTGACAGGCGCGGATCATCAGATCTAACGAGACGCGAAGCGTCGAGTTTGATCTGATGATCCGCGCCTGTCAACGAGACGTGATACGGCTCTTCGGATCAAGTTACTGTTATAATGATAAATTTATTATATACCCCCTTATAACTGGCTAAATATATTTAAATAAACCTTTAGAGATAAATTGGATAATATTAATCCATTAAACACAGCATAATAACAATGGACTTTTTAACGTGCAAGAAAAATAACGTCATATTTCTGCGCACTACGTCATCAGTTTCAGAGAGTGGTAATATGGATTCAGAAAACAACATGTTGGTGATCCGGAAAATCGGATCACGACGTCACGTGATAGCGTAAATTCAACAGTAAAATTGGATGATACACATTAGGTATATAATAAAAGAACTGAAATCTTTCCAACACATTGAGAAATATCAATCCCAAAAAATCACAGATTTGGAAGAGACTTCAAAGGAGCATATGGACAAGATTAAAGCGCAAAGAAATGAAATCAAAGAAGTGAAAGATCAGCTGGCGGTATCAAAGAAAAGGTGTGGCATGGATAGCTCTGATAAAATACAACAGAAATTAAAACATCTACGGAAAATCACTACTAAAGAGGACAAGGTCGAACCCAATGGAAGCCTAATTCGAAAAGTGAATAACTTAATATAGCACTATTTCTAATAGAATGAGAACAAATGAAATCAATTATTTTAGATATACTTTCATGTGCATGCGTATTGTCACTCTCACAATGCCAGGTGTCCTGAGTCAATGCGTTGCCTTGGGACCCATGGGACCAACGGCAAGGTGTTGAAACAGGCTCCCTGGCATTGCAAGAATGGTACATTCTATGTATATTCCTATTTGGATCTTATAGTGATTTATCGATGAAGAACTAGTACAAAGTGGTATACATGTACACGTATGCATATGTTTTCATTTACAAGAACATTCATATTTCGACTTTGTTTGAAAAAAAGTATGCATAATTACGATGTATTGTGTTTACTTCAACAGGAAGGATAACGCCTCCATCATCTAATGACCACGAACAAGTAGCATTCTACGCCTACATGTCGTCATCAATGACTAACATCGGTGGACACCACCCGCTGGTCTTTGACGTCGTCAAAACCAATGTTGGTAACGCATTCCACCAAAGTACGGGTGCCTTCATTGTTCCTCAAACAGGACTCTATGTCTTCACATGGTCTGTGAGGATAACTGGCGGTACTTATCACAGCGTGGATCTAGTTGTCAATGGAAAAGAGGAAGGGGCGGTCTACCAAATTTCTGAAGGTAATGAAGACGACCAGGGCGGCAGCACTATCGTTATTCTGGCCAATGAACAGGACGATGTTTTTCTGAGGACAAACATGGATTATAACAAAGGTCCTCTCGTTAGCAACTCGTACGGATATACATCATTTGCTGGATGGAAATTAAACTAAAAACCTAATTTTAATAAATTCAGGATTGTAGTCCTATAAAAACTACAAAATCTAGTTAAATAAATATTGAAAGATGAATATGATGAACTTCTTTTTTTTTTAATATCTGATGAAGACCATATTAATTATGATGGAACATTTATTTTGCAAACTTAAGAAATAATTTAACTACCATTTTTTGTTTTATTTATTTAATTGAATCCTGATCATTAAAGAAGAAATCTAAAGATAACGAACAATGATTAAGCTAAAAATACAATTTTAAAAATACAAATAAATACAACAGATTAAGAGAAGATCAAATAAGGACCTCTAAAATATTACATGTAGATAGAGATTGGATCAAGCGCCATGAAAAAATGAAAATAGTGATTAATATCACAATATCTTTAAACAAAAAGATAAACAAGAATTCGACAATATAGATACAATGGGAACAGCAAGAACATGTATAAAAAATAATTATATCTATTCGTCAGCTGTACGTATAAGATACATACAGAAATAATTATTAAATACTATCAAATACTTTAAAATTGCACGAAGAAAAAATATATAACAAAGTGTATGCCATTAATGCAAATGGGAACATAAGAGAACAAAAAAGGGGAAACTGTTCTCAAAGAAATTTGATATAAATGAACAAAGTTTTCTTCAAAGAATTTAAAACATTTGAATTTGACTCGATTTAATTTAAAAAAAAAACATATGTTTCTACTGCAGTAATTAATATCTAATAATTTTTAAACGTATTTATGAAATTACTGTGCATTTTGAAAAAGAAGAGGCGTTATTATTTATTTTTTTCGTTGTTTTTTTTAAAAATTATTTCCTTCATTTCATCGACACCTTTCGTTCTTTTAATGTCATTGAAAAAAAAAAAAAAATTTCAAATCCGAAATAGGTTTAAAAAAAAAAAAAATTAGTAGGAGAACAATGTACTTAATTTATCCTTTCGAATTACTTTATTTACTTTTCCGTTTATATTGACCACATCTTGCTCGTACCAATCCTAATGCTTATATCGTAGATAGTTATATAGAAAATGATGTATGCCCATTGGCGTATTTTGTTTCAGTTGATTTTGCTAATATGCAGGTTTTAAATTTTGCCTAAACAGCCATGAAATACAGATATATAATGGACGATAATTTTCCGGCTGGGTTGGGTCGCCCTTACTTTAATAAGTTAATCTAACGAAAACCACTAACAAAACCACTATCAAAATTATTCAAGACCTTCTTGTAAACAGTTCAAAAAGTTGACAATGACATAGAAATATGAAATATGTTCATTTACAGTACCCTGCGGGTTCGCCATTTTTTAAGTTCCTGAAAGTCACGCCATCACGGAACACCAGAGAGAGGATCATGTGCCTCGCACAAAACACTTTTAACTACGACTTTGACGTGAAATGTCCATATTATATGTAGGGTGAGTTCACCATGCATCGGACACATACCTTGCTTCGGACAACTTTAGGCAATAAACTCTCTTTCAACTTTAGAGTTCTGTATTTTTATTTGTTTCTGTCATAAAGATGAAGATTTAAATTTTTTAATGATACCGATTGTGTTTATCATGTTGTGATAAAAATACCCCGGAAAAGGCCTTGAAGTTACGTCATATTTTACATCATCAAAGGGGAATAACCCGAAATTTATGATTTTGCGATTTTTAGAGTTATCGTTCTTTTAAATTCGACTTCCACGGAACGAGTCGGACTTTGGTGAATTTTGTCAAGGATTGGTAATTTAACATAAATTATAAAGAAAATTCACTTTTATATTTGTTTAATTCTTATTAGAGTTGGTTTCTACTAGTATGCTTATTTCACCGTACATCGGACACAAATTAACCATGCATCGGACACTTTTCGATGCAAAGGTAAGCACTACCATTTTCATACAGAACCCAGCTGACAGCTGTTTTTTGCCGAAAAAGAAAATAAAAACTCTATATTTTCAGTCAAAATACAAGTTATCGATATATGACGTCTAAAAATTTAACTCAATTTATTTCTACAAACCAGAGTATGATAAACCTTGAGAAAAAGGCGCGAATTACCGCATTATAAGCATTTTAAAGCATTTCTATGGCAGAGTGAGGTATCTTGAATCGTTCTACATTTTTGCAATAATATCGTCAATTAAATTTAAGTTGAGGGTTATTTCTTAGATAAAAGATGAAAATATATCCATAATAAGGATTTTAAAGCACTGTGATAAAGGTATAATATTTTTCCAGTCTAAATACCGTCTGTCCGATGCATGGTGAACAATGTCCGATCCATGGTGAATTCTCAGTTATTCCTAAAAACTCGATTTTTGGGGATATTTTCACAATAAAGGGCATATAATTGTGTCCTAAATTGATATTTTAATCACAAAATAAATGTTAAGCTCCATTTTGATAATTTTCCGTCGATAGCGATATCGCTAGAACTTGTTGAAGTACAAGGGTATCCGATGCATGGTGAATTCACCCTACTTTAAAAAAGCTGATAAATATTTTGTCTTATTCGCAAAGATTCATAAAATAAAATAATTTCCTTATAAAGATACTGGTTTCTTGCATCTTTTCTCTAAATGGTTCCCTTAAAGAACAGATCAAAGATAATCCTTGACTTTTTCTTTTTGTAAATTTGTAAGTGGCTAATTTGAGCATCATTTACCAGTACTACTTTTATTAGGATTTTTTTTATGTCTAATTTTTCTGAAGGCAAATTCGTAAAGCAAGCGATTATTATCCTCTTATAAAGACTAAAGGTTTTAAGTCAAATTCATATTAGAAGTTAATAATTAAAAAGTCTTTTTTTTTTAAAAAACAATGTTTGTTTCTCATCTTTTTGGATAAATGGATAGGTTTAATAATTGAAATATTCATGTGGTAAACAAATTTAGAATGAAGGGTCATCCTGCTATATAGTTAATTTCATAAAAATCTCAGAAACAAAAGTAAAAGTACAATTTTGCAATTTTCACATTTATACTGCACACGCACCATCTCCCCCCCCCCCACACACACACACACATACACACAGGCGTTCCGTTATTTAATACGAACACGTTAAAAGTATTATAGATGTATGATAGATGCATATGATTAATATGACTAAATAAATGATTTACTAATGTAAATAAACGCCAGTGGCATCAAAGTTTCTACATTCAGGAAAGTTTTTAGGAGCTCTGGGGACAAAAGGAAAAGATTCATTTAATACTAATGCCATTCCTTGTAACGAATGAATTTCTATGTGACAATGCATGAACCAGAGTCCCGGATTGTCTGCTTTAAACCTAATTACTGTATAGCCTCCGTTTGGAACAATAATAGTGTCTTTTCTTGGAGGGTTTTTCAACCCCAGACCAGGTATATTTCTATTTAACCACGTCTTATCCCTCCATGTTGCATTATTACAATGGTTATAACCATTGTCAAGGTTTTTACTACCACTGCAATCAAACAAACAATTTTTTTCTTTGGAAGGGACTTAATATCATGTCACAAGTTTAGAAAAGTGGAAAAATCTTAGATTTTTTTCTCACAAGGACTGGAAAATGAAATAGACTTGGAAAATATTAATAATATTTCAATTAAAAAAACAAAAATAGACAAATCACACTCAGTAAAGGTTCACAGGTGAAAAAAAATTCAGAATATGTTACTTTGGTGGTAGAAAAATGTACCAAGCCAGGTGAATTTTATGAGGAAAAACAAAATGACAACAAATCAGCAATATCACATAGGCTGATTTTAACCATTTTGCTTTCCTAATAAAATTCACCTGACACCAACCAGCTTCCATATTTACAGTGTGTATCTACGCTATAATGTGGCCTTTTATTTATATTTTATCCACATTAATAATATATGCTTGTATTCTTCATTTCCTTTACCAAATGTTTCAAAAATCAATTTAAATATCATATCGACATATACATGTATATATTCATCATTAACAATCAACAATCTCTTTTTAAAAAGAATGTAAAAAAACCTATAAGAAAATCAACGGACACACTTTATCTCGATTTGACGTCCTTTCTGCTCAAACAGAAACCAAGTTATAGCTGTTTTACACAAGGGAGACACTCAGTTACATTAGAATATTCTTGTCTACGGTATTTCAAAGATTCTGGTGCATCGAATCATTAATGTGGTAAGTGTTGCATTACTGATTATTTAAATGAACTCCAAAAGATCACTTCAAATGCATACTTTTTACAATGGTGTATGACAAATCCTTCACCTTCGGACGTACCCTCATCTTCACTTGAATCACTAGGATAGTCAGGCTCAGGCTCTAGTATCCAATCATCATTAGAACACGTAAAAGAATTTAAACCATTGTTTACATGTTTTGACAGCTTGTATTTACACGGATATTTCCGGATGAGGAATGTCTTGGAAGGCCTGACATGGAGTAGCTATGCCTGCTGTGTTGGTGTTTAACATCATGAACAGGAACTCTTGAGGTTGATGAAGAAGGACTAGTAGGAATAAATTTATCTATTTTATTTATAGAATTTATATATAACCCCCTGTCATCGTGGACGTCAGCTGTCACATGTTGTGTCGGAGACACGTGAGTGCCAAATATCCCTCTTTCACCTGTCACGTGATGTCTGGGAGGAGGCATGTCTTCTCCGTTAAAACATTTTTGTGACGTCATCTTTTGTTAAACCTGGTTCAATAAATTTGTTATTGTCCTGCACCCCATCCAATAAGTTACCTGTAGGCGTCCAATAAGATTCAACTTATTGGACAGGTACAGGTAACGTTAAAATGAGAACAAAGGGCGAGGCAAATAAGTAAACACCACTTAAAAGGCAATGACAAATCAAACAATTTAATATGAACAATGTAGGAAATTAGTAGCTTTAAATGTTAATATTTCACAAAAAATCCTATTGAAAATGGCACAAATAATCCAGTGAATTGAATGTCTCAGATTCATTATTGTAAAAGCATCCGTGGCTCCGATCATATATTTCCTATATTCACCGTTCACTACTATATAATAGATTCATTTCACAATGATTGATCCACGGAACATATATAGAATCCGATGGACACAAAAGATGAGTGAGAAGCATGTGTTTTTTTTTTACACACAACCCTGGAGTTTTTGTTTATTGAAATATCCATTTTTCTGCATTTAGCACAAAATTTAGCTCACGAAATTCCAACGGAATCTGTAATTTCGTCCGGTGATTTATGACCATTTGTCCACCTAGTCCTGCGTCGTTTAAGCGAGTATCTGTCGTTTTAAGGAGTGCCTGGAGATAAATCCTTCCGAGTTCGAAACCTGCTCACAAAAGAGAATTGCATTTTTAAAAAATACATCAGGAATAATCTTCCAATTTCAAAGAAAATGCTTAAACAGTTGTTTGAGTGAAATCCTTCAAATCCTATTGCTTTACAAAAATTAAAAATGTACCTTTTAACGGGAACTGTTTCTTGCAAATTCCGAAACATAAGAATATATATCCGGATTACACAGTAAAAATCTAAACGGAGGCATCTTGGTGTAATCGATAAATTGCATCGTCAAAACACCCGATTCTGAAGGTCCTTTTTTCGAAATTGAAATATACGTCTTCTTCCGTGGTCGTTGCGTTGTAAAATGAATAAGTTTTAAAGAATTTAGTAGAACTGACTTTTACGCATGCGTAGTATAATAAAAAATGTCGCAATGCGGATAAATAAGACTAAACAAAGTTAATGTTCATATTTATCGATATAAAACACCTCTCGATGATTCCTACTATTAATAAAGACAGAAGAAAAACCAAAACTGGTTTTCTTTGGCCTAACTTGATGAACAGTGCCAGGTAGTCATCCAAGCAGAACGAAACCTTACCTGTGGCTGTCCAATAATATAACAATGAAAGTGTTCGACAATGGTGAAATGTTTTAAGTAAGTTATAAGCCTCAAACTGACCATTATGTCAGATATTAGACTCTCCTCGGCGCTAACGCGCCTCGGGTCGTCTAATATCTGACATAATGGACAGTTTTCGGCTTATAACCATTACTTAAAATATTTTTTTCGCAAGTTTGGTCAGGGCTAGTGGTTAAAGGGTCAGGGCTAGTAAAAATTTGCCAGAATAGACCTACTGGTCTAGTATTCCAAAAGCTTAATGTCAAACCCTGCATGATGGCCAACCAGTGAAGAGCAAGTGAGTTGTCCTGATGGAGAGCCAATAAGATACAAACCAACGTTGGCCCAAAAATGATGTTTGCCTAATATTGAGAGAATAAGTGGCCCAACAATGACTCCATAGTATCCGTTCGTTGGTCCAACAATAAGCCAACAAGTTAGTCTGATTAAGGGCCGATGAGCAAATTACCGTTGACCCAACATTAATTGCTTACAATGGCCCAACTGTACAAAAATGACGTTTGCCCAATATTGAAAGAAAACACTGGCCAAACAGTGGCCCAATATTAACTGTTACATTGGCCCAACAATAAGACACCAAGTTGATTTGATTAAGGACCGATGATCAAATTACCGATGGCCCGATGTTTAATGCATACGGTGGCCCAACATAAGGAGCATTGTTGGCCCAACAAAGATCCAATAATATCTTGCTATCTGGGTTCAGAATAATCTGGTCCCAAGACCATAAACTGAGAATAGATCTTAGAAGTCAAAATTCCAAATCCGTGTAATTTTTATGATAAATTTTAAAATGAAACAATATAAAACGTTTCCTAAAAAATGAAAAAATAAAGATAAAAATGGCGAACTTACCGCATCTCGACTGCTTACCTTTGCATTTAAAAAAGTTCCCATTGAAGTGAAAACAATTTGTATGCACTTTTTCCCCTTCTATTTTTTCCCTCGTAATTTGCAGTGAGTTTGAAGCTAAAATACTCATAATATCAGCGCAAGTTATTTTTCTTAATCTGAAAACTCAAAATATCTAAAACACAGAACTCTAAGGAGATAAGAAATACGTGTAGTGTGATATGAACGGTAAATTAACAGGTTAGCTATCGAGTGCAGTCGTCCTTTTCTGTCAAGATAAGACTGGTTAAAATTCCTTCAGAATGAAGATATTACAACTAAGTTTTGGAATCCTTCTACTCGGTATTGTTCATGGAGAGCCACAATTAAGTTCTCAAATGAATATTGAAGATGTGATTCAGGAACTGAAATCTTTACAAAACATTGTGAAATATCAATCTAAAAAAATCGTGGCTTTGGAAGAGACTTCAAAGGAGCATATGGACATGATCAAAGCGCAAAGAAATGAAATCAAAGAGGTGAAAGATCAGCTGGCGATGTCAAAGAAAAGGTGTGACATGGATAGCTCTGATAAAATACAAGAAAAATCAAACCATCTACAGAATATCACTACCAAAGCGGACAAGGTTGAACCCAATGGAAGCCTAATTCGAAAAGGTTATTATAGCATTATTTCAACTAGAATGAATGAAATCAATTAGATTTACTTTTGTGTGCATTGTCACTCTAACAATACTCTAACAATACCATCGGCTCTGAGTCAATGAGTTGCCTTGGGATCCATCGTACCAAAGGCAAAGTGTTGAATCAGGATCCTTGACATTGCAAGATGATTGCACCCACTGTGACACGGGACCTCTGCTTATACGGTCTCATCCGATCGAAGGACCGGTATCCACGTCCCACAGTGGGATTTAAACCCGCGAAGTGAGGATCAACTCCTTACTTCGCGATTCTTGAGCAGACACTCTAACCACTGCAAAACGCGATCGACGGCATTGCAAGAATGGTGCATTCCTATTTGAATCTAATAATGATTTATTGATGAAGTACTAGTACACAGTGGTATACATGTATGTTGATGTTTTCATTAAAAAATGCATTCATATTTCGGCTTTAATTTAACAATAATAGACAAAATTGTGTTTACTTAAACAGGAAGGTTAACACCCCCCTCGTCTAACGAACACGGACCAGTAGCGTTCTACGCATACATGTCCTCAGCCATGACTAACATCGGTGGACACCACCCGTTGGTCTTTGACGTCGTCAGAACAAACATTGGGAACGCCTTCCACCAAAGTACCGGAGCCTTCATTGTTCCTCAAACAGGACTCTATGTCTTCACATGGTCTGTGAGGGTAACTAGCGGTAGTTATCATTGCGTGGAGCTGGTTGTCAATGGAAAAGTGGAAGGGGCTGTCTATCAACACAGTACAAGTAGTGAAGACGACCAAGGCGGTAGCACCATCGTTATTCAGGCCAATGAACAGGATGATGTTTTTCTCAGGACCAAACTAGGTTCTAACAACGGCCCTATCTATAGCAGCCCTTACGGGTTTCCGTCATTTGCTGGATGGAAATTAAACTGATAAAACTAATTAAAAAATAAATTCCGACTGTTTACTGTCATGTTACATATAATGACCAAGCGTAAAGGATGTTGATCCAAACTGCCCTTTTTAATTGGTTTACGACAATTTTTTTGAACTTTTAAACATTTACATTTAATAAAACAAAATATACAACATAAACTGTATTTGGTAACTGTTAGTGTTTAACTCGGCGATGACGGTTGTCCTAAATTTCGATACAATTACAATGAATTCGACACATTCATATGATATTACTCGAACACCGTTATTTGACCAACGTTACATACAAATAATGAATACAGATCTCAAATAACATATAAATTACATGTATACAGACCTCAAATAGCATAACAGTTAAGGCATACTTTGTTGAGAATTTCCGAACCTGGTTATTTTAAGATACTTATATTTGAAGGGTTAAGTGATGTGAGGCTTAAAAGGGACGAAATATGTACAGAGTGAAAAACGGAAGCTCACCATAGGGAAATAGAATTTTGTTTGCGTTTTTGAATATAGACCTTTAATAAAGGTGTAAATGTTATTATACGATCATTAGGTCACATTTAAGCCGATGGTCGGAAGACAAAAATTTTCTGGTCTTGTTGGCTGAAAGATCATAATCGGGCCGACCCAGTATCGGGCCACACGGAGCAGTCACATTATTTCCTAGGGACACCGATGACTTGGATAAATAACACAAAAAATCTTTTTCTTTAGAAATCAGCAATATTTTTTTCAAAGATCTATATTCAGATAGGTGACGTGAGTAATGTTTGCAAGGCAAAGTGGCAGAATCTTATAAATTGTGACTAAATGTTGAAAATGTGTGCAAAATTTTGTATGGAATTGCATAAAAACAACAAATGGTGCATATCTAAGCAGCAAAGAATACTTAGGATTTCTTCATATCTTACAGATTAATTATTTATGTTATTTCCGTTCAAAAAATATATATAAATCCATGCATCAAAATTTTGTTTATGTTATGTATCCTTAATAGGTTAAATATTCACAAGTCGGCCAATCGTCGCCCGATCATCGAGCTCTGAGCTGCAGTTTGATTTTAACCATCGGCTGAAATTTTAAACACCCTTATTGTCCAACAATGGAGGACCGACTTAATAAACTGACCGCCGATGGTCGGACGATGATCGAAGGCTGCTCGACGGATAAATTCAATTGAGGAAATCGGCCACCGACGAAGAAAAAATTATAACTTGGACCGATGGACACAAAATTGGTCGGCCGACAAAACAAGAGGTCAAAATCGGCCAAGACAACGGCCGATGAACTGTCGACTGTCACCCGAAGAATCCCATTTTTGCTTCAAAACCCGTCGACCATTGGTCGTTTTTGGAAATGTGACTGGGGTTTGAGTGTCCACCTCATTTCTGAGAGAGAGGGGGAGGCATAAGATAATAAGAATCAAATAGATTTAAAAACCCTCATATTAAGATTTTTAAAAAAATTGAAAAAAAAAGAAAGAAGCTAAATATTTTTGCAAAAAATAAAGAAAAATAAATAAATGCCAAATAAATGAAATGAATATGAATAATAAAAATTGTTTCAATTCTGGACCATTGTACTGTACTCTATCTCCAACTAATGGTCCAGTAAACAGGGTTTGGGGGGATGACCTTTTCCTGATTTGATTAGAGAAGCTAGTGGTGCTATATTGAGAACTGTTTGGACAACTTGTCCTCAGTTTGACCACACAATTAGTGTGACCTTATCGCAGAATGGATCAGTTCTGTGTATATACTTATACTATTGTACAGTTAGTAAATAAATACTCTTCAGTTGCATGTCAAACCCATTTTCAAATGAAGAAACATGATCTTACTGATACAAGAAACCTTAAAAAGTAAAATGAAGGATTAGATGTCAATTCTGTTTTACATATTGACTTCTCAGGCTGAAAAATTAATCTGACTAATTCCTCTCACCCTGGTCTATGTGGTTTTCCCCAGAGGTTATTGATTTTCATGGGAAACCAGAGAGTTTTTGTGGAGGCCTTGAGAAGATAGATTGGATTTTGTGTAGAATTATTGTAAAGGTCTGTAATTCTCTCATAGTTTTGTAAAGCTTTCCATGTTGACAGCCAGTTCATCTTAGACATTTTTATCTGTACATTTTTCAGAGGTAAGGCAGTGAAAGAGCATTTAGATGCTGATGGAAAGAATCGAATTTCAAACACATGCATACTTCTCATTACAAAACACTTGAAATTAAAAAAAAATTAATAGAAGACTCCATTTGTCTTTAGCTCACATGGGTCAAGGGGTCGGGAGAGCTTTTCTAATTGAAATTTTTCTGTTTATTGTCTGCCACTGTTGTCATGATCACCATTATTTTTAAAATGTTTCCAAATTTCTTCCAGAACCACTTGCCTTATTTCAACCAAACTTGCCTTAAAGCTTCTTGGTGTTAAGGGCATTAAAGTTTCTTCAAATGAATTTCAGGACCACACCCTCTTTCATGGAGAGATAATGAAGAAATAGTGAAAATGGGGTGGGGTCATTTTAAAAAAAAATCTATTTATCCAACATAATCACTGGGTTAAAAAAGGCTAAATGTACCTATATTTGGAAGCTTTTTTACAAGGTGTATCTTTATATTTGCTCAAGTTATTCAGTTCAATTTTTTCCTTAAAAAATATATTCAATGGTTAGAGTAAGGCTAAAATTAAGTAGCAGTTTTCAACAACTTTATGTTTTCTTCTTTAGAACAGGAAGTCCATGTTAACCATTATGTTTTTGATAGAAGCACCCCCCCCCCCCCTGGGTGTGTTGATTCAAGTAAGCTTATGTCATGATGCTTTGGGACTAGTGTTGGACCATATAATACACAATGTATAAAGAAAGGATTTTTCATATGAACAATGTCATGATGAATAAAGATGATTTTTTTAAATCCTGCAATGGAGAACAGGAAGGCCAAGAAGACTCAGATGAGCATTGTGGCCCATGAACCTTTTTTCTTAAAGATTTTTTGCTATAGCTGTTAACTGAAATGAGTACATGTACGAAGAACTTGTTTTTAGTTCACCCAAGTAAATGATTAAGTCAGATTTTTTTCTGTGTCAAATTGGCCACCATTTATTTAAATAAAAAAACGATTCGCATTAAATTGTAATATACTTAAAGCTGAACATGATTGGTAAAAAGGATTTTTTCGCCATATTCCATTGGACACTTGCTATATCTGAGGGTCTCTATATAAAGCCGCTCACATATACCATTCAATGTTATAATCATCAACCGTGGAGGTGGATGTATGGTATACAACACTCTAATAAGTTAATCTAACAAAAACCACTAACAAAACCACTATCAAAATTATTCAAGACCTTCTTGTATACAGATGAAAAAGTTGACAATGACATAGAAATATAAAATATGTTCATTTACAGTACCCTGCGGGTTCGCCATTTTTTAAGTTCCTGAAAGTCACGCCATCACGGGACACTAGAGATAGGATCGTGTGCCTCGGACAAAACACTTTCAACTACGACTTTGACGTGAAATGTCCATATTATTTATACTTTAAAAAAGCTGATAAATATTTTGTCTCATTCGCAAAGATTTACAAAATAA